CTATCTGTCCCCCAAAGAAAGCTGATGCAGCAAGATTCCTCCACTTCACCCCCTTCTGCTCCAAAGCCAGCCCAGTCCTCAGTCTCCTCCCAGCTTCCCCAGGGATTCTGTGTTTTCTCTTTTCCTCCTCTTCCTGTTCAACTAATAACCTCCCTTCACTTCCACCAGGAAGTTGCTCCAAAGTGGCTCCATCCTCCCCTTGCGACACTTTTCCCAATTGCTCTGTGGCCTGGGGAGACAAAGTTCACTTTCTCTGGACCTCACTGCCACCCATGGTCCCTAACCCCATCTCAAGGTCTCTATGGGGCAGATGCCCCCACTGCCACCTCAAACCCTGTCATGCAGATGGTAAACATGCACATGGAGAAGGTGGCCCGCAGGGAGATTGGCACCTTGGCTGCTGTCCAGCGGCTGCCCCTCGGCCAGAAGGTCATCGCCCCTGAGAGCCTACCTGCCCTCACACCTTACTACAGGAAACCCCTCAACTTTGGCTGCCTGGATGACATTGGCCATGGGATCAAGGTAGAGATCTTTCCCCATTATCCACCCCCTACCCATGCACCCCCGTCTCCTCTCCAGGCACCCAGCTCTCTTCCATATCACTTGTCCCAACCTTTAACTCCTTTCTTTCCCCACTCCCTGAAGCCATTACTCCTAGTCACCCTCTTCCTCCCCAAATTCTGTAACACTCCCTTGACCCCCTCCTCCATCACTGGCCTTGCCCCTATACTCAGATGATCTCCTGAATGTGACATCCTGAGGCCTCCCTCCCCCTCCCACTGTGGGTACTGGGTGTGAAGGGGAAGAGGGGGCAGGGAGGATGTCAGGGTGTGCATGAGAACGGCTCCCCAGCCACATGAGAATAGCTACTTCCTCTGTCTGGAGGTTTGAGGTCACCACACTGAGCATCACCCCAGAGCTACTGTGAGTCAGAAGAGGCAGGATGCAGCCACTCCAAGGGGATGTGGAAAAGGGGAGCACACGACTCTGGTATTTTCTTATCAGTCCATCTCCTTCTGAGAGTTGGGACAGGGCACACTCCCATCCCATGCTGTCAATTCCTGTCTCCACACTCCACATTCCAGATTAGAACAGAGCCTCCACTCCCTCCACTCACCGGTCCTCCCCACCAGTACTTTTTCTCCATTAAATTCTTTACTCCTCAGCTCAAGTTCTTTTTCTTGTTCCTAGTGAAGTAGAGCAGATAGAGGCCATCATTCTCCACCCACCCACCCTCAAAGAAGGGGAACCCCATCAGTAACATGTGTCATTAGTACACTCTAAGTGTCCTGGCACCCACTTCTCTCTGCCTCGAATTCTCCACAAGGCTGCAAAAATGACAGGCTGGACACCTCTAAGTGTATGTGTCCTATACCCTCAGAACGCTGGGGTTCCAGTCTAATCATGGTTAGAGACCACCAGGCCAGGCCAGATAGTTTGGGGAAGGGCAGGGGTGATGGGCCCCTCACCCCATAGCTCAGCCCACTATGGTTGTGCAAAGGAAGTGGCCACCAGACCGTGTCTGTGCCCCGAGGTTTCTGCGTCCTCCCGACCACGATGGGGGCTGGCAGCTTGAGACCGAGGACGCAGGCCACCGGCAGGACCCGGGGCAGGGGCTAGGAAGCAGAAAGGAGAACTTGCTGTGCCCGCTCTCCCGGTTCTCATCAACCCCTCCCGTTTCCTCTCTGGGATGAGGGAGGTGACTGGGGCGGGCAAATGTCAGCCCTGACTCCCCTCCCTTGCAGGACCTGAGCACTCAGCTGTCGCGGACGGGGACCCTGTCCCGCAAGAGCATCAAGGCGCCTGCCACACCGGCCTCCGCCACCCTGGGGTGAGGCTTCGCAGGGATCCAAACCGTCGAGGAGGGCCTGCCCCCATCCTGACACTCCACTTTCTCACCCGCGTCCCTGTGCCGGGTGCCAGCTGCCTCCTCCTCCTCCCCGCACCGCCCCGTGCTCGCAGACGCCTCTCTGCCCCTCACACTTCCACCCCCTTCCACTCCCAGGAGGCCACCCCGGATCCCCGAGCCCGTGCAGGTCCCAGTGGTGCCCGACGGCCACCTCTCCGCCGCCTCATCCGCCTCTTCCCTGGCCTCGGCCGGGTGAGCCCTACCAGACTGGGTGGTAGGTGGAGGGGAGAGGGTGTTTGAAAGAAACCACCTGCCTGTTGTCACGGTGACTACTGGGATAGTCAGGGGGCGTGGCTCAATGCTCAGGGGGCGGGGCCGGCCGGGGGCTAGCGCGTTGGAGAAGGCGCTCCCAACAGAGGCGAGCCCCTTTTGTCTGGTCTTCAGCAGCGCTGAAGGTGTCGGTGGGGTCTCCACCACCAAAGGGCAGGCGGCACCCCCACCCCCGCCTCTTCCCGGTTGCATGGCCTCACCCCCTCCAGCCGCAGACGTCTTCCTGCCGCCGCCTGTGTTGGACGAGCTGTCCCCGCCCCCGCCGGGTAAGGAGCTCCGCCCCCTCCCTGCCCAAGTCACCCGACGCCCCTCCCAACCCATCCTCCTAGGATTAAACCCGACCTGCTAAAGTGAAAGCTAGGTCCGCGATGAAGGTTAACTGGAGGGTAAGGCGGGGAAGGTGAACTTTATACCAGGCCCTCATCCATTTTCTCATTTAAACTTAATATCCTGAGAGAACCTTCACCCTCCCATTCAGCAGATGAAAGACTTGAGGTCGCAGTTACTTGCCAAGGGTCATTCAGCTGATTAGTGGCAGTCTGACCACCATACAGTTGATTCCAACATTTACTGAGCACCTAGGACGTGCCTAGAGGCTTTGTGGGAGGAATTGGGTGGCGGAGGGCTGCAGAAAGATAAATTTTCTGGGGAGTGTAGCCTTTCTTTTCCCTCCTAGACCTCCAGCTGCCCCTGCCCCTGGACCTGCCCCCACCTCCACCCCTGGATGTAGATGAATTGGGGCTGCCGCCTCCGCCACCCCCAGGTTTTGGCCCTGATGAGCCCAGCTGGGTCCCTGCTGCATACTTGGAGAAAGGTACCTGGACAGGGGACTGAGGGGACCAGAGCTGGGGTCTGTTAGGGCCTCTGCAGCCCTGACCCCCATTCTTCATTCCCAGGAGGCATTCTCTCTCCCTCTACAAAGGTGTGAGCCTATCCCCCCACCCCCCACCCCTCTCTCTGAAGAATAAGCAAATGTTCAGCTAGGCACCATCTCAGAATCAAACTGGGAGGGAGAGCCTGGTACTCAATGAACCCACTGCAGGAGGGATCCTGAGGGCCTGGGCAAAGACACCTGCCCCACTCCGTGCAGGTCCCTCCCCTAGCTAGAATCCTGCATTTGGTCCAGGGGCAATAATCTCATGGCACCTTCTCCTCCCACTTTGCAGTGGTGACACTTTACCCATACACCCGCCAGAAGGACAATGAACTCTCCTTCTCCGAGGGGACCATCATCTGCATCACCCGACGCTACTCTGATGGCTGGTGTGAGGGCGTCAGTTCAGAAGGCACTGGATTCTTCCCTGGGAACTATGTAGAGCCCAGCTGCTGACACCAGGGGTTCTCTGGGCCTATGACTGAGCCTCAGGCCAAAGGCCGCTGCACTAGATGCACTGTCTCCTCTGGACTGGGTGACAAGCTATGTTCTGTGCCCTCCCCCCATGACAGTGGGAAAAGGTCCAAAAGGTAGAAAGGAGGCACCCAGAGACCTGCTGCAAGAAAGACCCGGAAGCCAAGGAGTTCTGGTGATCTTGTCTGCAGGTCAGTGCAGGCAAGGCTTCCAGGTCTAAGTGCCAACTTTGAATAAAGCCTTGATGCACCTCCTGATGGTTTCCAGCAAGGCAAGGGGGCCAGAGAGAGGAGGCATTTAAGCCACCGCAGTTCTACAGGCTTCTGCTAATTATTGAGCCTCTCTCAGCTGCCCCTAGCAGCAGTAGCTCTCCCTCCTCACCCTCCTCAGTCCTCATTATTAAGTCCCCTCTCCACTTAACCACTTAACCCCGGATGTCTCTCTGCAGTGATCACCTGCTCCTCCGGCTTTGTGGCTTGCCGTGTTAGGTGTTATCTCGATTCCTCCAGCTGGACACTCCCAAGAATGGGGACCACCTCCCTCACCTAAGTGAAGGTCTCAGACAATAGAGACCACCTTCAGCTTCACCCTCACCCCTCAGACTGCGTGCAAGAGATCTCAATCACCTCCTTTATAGCTCTGAACACTTAAGAAGGGGAAGGAGGAGCTTGGATTTCGCTGGCTCTGCTTAAAAACATCATGGCTTTCTGTTCCATACGGGAGAGGGGGCGCGAAGGGCCTAGCCCACAGGGGCAACTTTGGTAAAGTCCCTGGTCTCTTGCTGCATAGACAAGGCTGGGGTGCAAGGAGACACTGTCGCCAGCTGCGAGGTCCTTGGCTGGCCAGGCCGGAGCAAAACGGTGCGCTACCTCGTTGCACCACCAGGAGGCGACTGTTTCTTCTGGCTTTTTTTTTCCTTTGGGAGTGCTGGCGGCTGGGCGGAGGATGCGAGACGAAAAGAGTAGCTCGTACAGAAATAGTGTGCCATCCCGGTGGGTGAAGCGAGATCGAGGAGGCCTGGGGCCGTCGGCGGGGAGCGCGTTTTGGTCTCTCTCCGCTTGTAGTCCTTTGGGGCCATGGGTGGCCGGGTACCTTTATGATTTCGGGACACTGGGGAAAGGGACGTTAGGGGCCGGAGGCAGCAGTTAAAGCAGTGGAAACCTCTTCCTCCCAACTCGGAGGACGACGCTTTTGAAACTCTGCTGCCTCATTTGAGCAGACTCCGGAATGTAACTGCGTGCAGCAGAACTGGGGAAGGGAGCCGCGCTGGCTTCCCTGCATAGATACGGACCGCTCAGAGCCCCTCTCCACCCAAGTGGAAGAGCCTGGAATTCCCAAAAGCGGTCCGAGGGACATACCAAAGCAAGAAGGAAAAAGGGAATAATAAAACTAGGTTTGTCTTTCCCCAATACCCCGCTCCCCGGTCCCCTCCTCCGCCCGTCTGCCCGTGGCGCCCCCTGCAGGCGGCCATCCTCAGCAGGTCTTCAGCACCTGTTGTAGATGGAGGCGCACGTCCACAGCGGTCTCCCAGGGCACCACCCTGGCGCGGAAGGAGCTGGGCTCAGCCTTCTGCGCCTCTTGGATGAGGCGGTGCATGGGATAGCCGCGGCGTGGGAAGGCCACATCGCTGTCCGCCAGCAGCCCCATGGGGCAGAAGTCGTTGGCGCCATCACCCACGTAGAAAAGGCGCTCGAAGTGCACGCCGTCGTGGGCCCTCTCGCGCAGGTAGTCACTGAGCACCTTGTGCTTGCACATGTTGGCCGGGCAGCGCGCACAGCTGTGCGTGTGGAAGGGCCGCAGCACCAGCAGCCCGCGCGCGTCCGGGCCCGACGGGTTGCTGAGGATGCGACGGAACAGGCCATGGTGGCCGGCGGCGCGCAGCGCGCTCTCTATGCCGAAGGTGTTGGCATCCGAGATGAGAATAACCTCGAAGCAAGCGCCCTGCTTGGCCACAAACTGGAGCAAATCGCCCATGCCCGGTGACAGGGGGATGGCCTCGTAGACGGCACGCAGGTCCCGGGGCCGCACGCCCTGCTCGCCCAGGTACTTGAAGACGCGCTGCATGTACTCGTTGTAAAAGCCCTCATGGTAAGTGGCACGCAAGCTCTCTGGCAGCCGTTGGCCCGGCGCGGCGCGCACTATCGAGTCGTCGCTGTTCTCATCCACAATGGTCTCATCGAAGTCGAAGGTCAGGAGGAAGCGTGGCGCGCCCGGCGCAGCCATCCCGCCGTCCTGGGAGCAGGGAGGGGAGGAGCAGGAGGAGGAGGAAGGGACAAGCGAGAGTGGGCGCGGCGGCAGCCGGCCGGGAAGAGGCTGGTTAGCAGACCATGGCCAGAGGTGCTGGCATATCCAAGACCTGAGGAGGACCCAAGACCGGTTAAGCTGGGCTGAGTGCCCCACTCGGCCTTCCACCACTCCCACCCCCACCAGCCATCTCTGCCCACTCTCTTGGCACCTCTCAGTCAACTGCCTGAGGCAGAGCATCCTACGCCTGGACCCAGAAAGGCTTCTTAGAGAATGACCCATTTTGCTACTCTCATCTGGGGTCACTTAGTGTTAGCAAGGGAGGAGCTTATAAGGGAAGAGCTGCTTTCAGGGAATCACCCTTTGGGGAAGTTTCTGCACTAGCCCTATTGGAGATTCCCAGTGGCCCCACTGCAGGTGTGGATAAGGTGGGGGAGAGAACTCTTCACTCCTTCCTTCTTCAACAAACATAGTCAAGGGAAACCACCCATTTGCCCAGCTGGAGCAGCCTCCTCGTTCCTATTGGACCATGCAGAGTGGATGGCTGACAGAACTGTGGACAAGGAGGACCCAGCATCCAGGCGAGATGGCTTTGGCATCGTCCAAATGAGAGCTGAGTCCTGGGGCAGAAGGTGGGCACTAAGTGGCAGGCCTGGGAGGGTTAGGTGTCTGGGCCTCCCCACTGGCCAGAGAATGGAATTTGAGTCCTTGGCATAACCAGATTAAGTGGACTCACCACACAAGACCCAGGAAAGCTCTCTAGGAGCTGCCTCTAGGCAGATAGGGCTGGGTGGGGGCCCAGGGGAGGGACATGGCTTCCCTGGGGCTTTTCAGGGCCCTGTGCTGACAGCTCATTACTCATCACTTGCCAGTTCCCTGAGAGGGGCGTGTCAGCAGGTGGGGTTTCTGCCAGGGTCCGAAGCAAGCGGGCAGCAGAAGCAGTGGGGCTTAGGGAGGTGGGAGCCTCCCACACCAGGCCACGGCACACCTGGGAGACAAGGGAAGGGAGAGAGAGCAGCAGTGGCTGAAAAGGCAGGGTGTGAGGGAGCAGGGAGCGGGGGATGGGGAGAGGAGGGGAGGGGAGGTAGCTGTGAGGCAGGAGAGGGCAGGGGGTCATGCCAGGTGAGCATGGGGACAGAAAGATGGGATGAGGACTCCCAGGAAGTATACACCTTGACCAGAGTCATGCTGAAGAGGGACATGGGAGAGGGCTGGGGACGAAAGGGCAAGTGTGAGGCCATAAAGGCAAGCAAATGGTACATGCAGGAGTCCTCAGCAGCCTGTCTGCCACGTTTGCCTGCCAGCAGCTGTGTGCATCAGAAAGGCAGAGTATACACATAGCTTCAGAATAGCCACCACACTGCCTGTCTCCCTCCTGGGCTCCCACCCCGACTAATCAAGACAGAGCACTCCTCTTGAGTTTCTTCCTAGATAGAGCCCTCTTTAGTTTTCCTGTTCATGGCCTGACACACCTTGGGAAATAATCCAAGCTCCTAATTTCCAGAACTGGGATTTGAACCTGGCTGTCTCTCAGGTGACGTACTGCCTAAGGCATTTGAATGCTAACCAGAAGGCTGGTGGTTCAAACCCAGTCACTCCTCAGAAGGAAGACTGGGCAATCTACTTCTGTAGTGACACTGCCTCAGAAACCCAAGGAGGGGTCACTCTGAGTTGAAACCAACTTGATGGCATTGAATTTGGTTCCGTTATCTGCCTCCCAGGGCAGGTGGGTTTGAATCGCCAGCCTTCTGATTAGCAGTTAAGTGCCTTAGGCACTACGCTACCAGAGCTCCCACCATAAAGATTACAGCCTTGGAAATGCTATAGGGCTGTTCTAACCTGTCCTATTGGGTCACTATGAGTCAGAATTGACTTGATGGCAATGAGTTATCTGCCTCCCTTAAGACCCTTTGACCTCATCCCTGGGGTCACCTTCTGGTCTCACCAGTATCCAGCTGGGAGTCTCAGTGGCCAGGAGTCCTGGAGTTGAGAAGCATCAGGATCCCACCTGGGGTGGAAGCTTCTGGGGATTAGTGGGGCCCCAGTGGAGGCGGGGGGCAAGACTCAAAGGGGCTGAATAGGGCTCCCCCAACTGTGTGATATGAAAATGGGAGCTGCGTGAGGCCTCATCCTAAGAGACCCCTCGAGGAACCCACTTACCCTAGACAGGCATCGGAGGCCAGCAACTGGAAAACACCCACTCATGGTCAGTGCATCACCCTGGGCACCACTTGCAGGGACCGTGTTGGCTTCTACCTGTCGTCCAGAGCTCCTGACAACCACACAAGCTCCATTGGAGGGGACCAGCCAGATGGTTTTGCATCTACATGCCCACCTGGGCCTACTCTGCCCCCTCTACCCCACTGAGCCCCAGGAACTGCTACCAGGGCCTCAGTAAAAACAACTCTTCCAATAAGCACAGCACTTACAGAGTGCAAAGCAGCAACAAATGCCCTGTTCTGCTGGAGATGTTTGGAGGTTAACTGACTTGCCCAGTGGTCACCCACTGTAAGTAGCAGAGACAGATCTCAAACCAAGATCGAGTTCAAGACCAGTGCTTTTTCCTCTAGTGTGTTCACCACCCCCTACGTGTATGGTTCATTCCAGTTCACAAAGCACCTTCACCAGTATTATTCATTCTCTCACTGCTCCTCAGTCCCCTGAATTCAGCAGATGGGAAAGGCTTGGGGAGATGAGTAACTTGCCTGAGGCAGTGATGCTTAGATGAGGCAGAGCTGGCTTGTGAATGACTGGCCACAGCCTTGCCTTCCCTCTGGCCTCTAAAGGGAAGGGGCAGCTAGCCAGGGTTTACTGAACCACAGCTGGAGGCTTGGGTTCCACAGGGGATCTGGGACTGGCCTCCCAGCTACTTTCAAGGATCCAACAGTCAGGAGAGTTGGGGGATGGAGTTTGCCTTCTTGCAACCTTCACCAATGCAGCTACAAAGGACACCACCTATAACTCCCAGTGGCCTCCCTGCTTCCCCGATCCTCCACTTCCAGGTGGAATGAGAGCAGAGGCGGCAGCTGGGACAGAACGGGAAAGATCCTGCGAACTAGACCAGTCTGGGAAAGGAACAGAAGTCCGACTGGCTGCTGCCCTCTGGTGGTGACAAACGGGTGTCACAGCACACCTGACTTTTTCAAGGTGACTCTCCCAGACCACCTTTGTGCCCAGGGCAGCAGGGAGAAGCCATAAACTCCAGGACTGAGATTGGGACATCCAATCTCAAGACAAGGATGGGGGAGGGGCTGTACCACCACCATCTTGGGCTACCTCATCCCTCCCAACTCCCTGACCACACAGGTGTTGAAACCCCTTAGGTAAGGATGAGATGTGGGGCTCAGTGTTTCCCTGAAGAACTTTTGATCTAGAATTGGGAGAAGAGGCCTAAGCTGAATGGGGTAGGGGGCAAAGAGTGAGAGGGCGTTGGAAGAGACACAGTCAAGAAGATAGGAGAGAAGGGGAGGGAGGCACTAGAGACAAGGGCATGGCATGTGTTGGGGGAGTGGGAGGACTGTCTCCAGGCCTTATCTGGAGGGAGTCCAAACCTTCCAGAATCCTGGCTGATAATTCATGGTCGGCTGGTCGGCCAGACTAGAGAAAAGTGAGGATGCCATTGCCATTGTAAAAGCAAACATGGGCAGCACGTGTCTGGCACGTGGCGAGGAGATGGGCAGATAGAAACATGACACAAGTGGTCTCCAGCAGCCACCCACAAATCAACTTTCACGCCATAAAAGCAGGTCTCCTTACTTTGCTCTTGTTTCTTTTTGTCTTCCAAAGCAGAAAGCCAGGCATCCTGGGTTTCTCCCCCATCCCCCACCCCCAACTGAGTAGCCTGTGCTGTTGGCCCCCCAGGAGCCACAGGGATCAGGGCATGTCTTCAGAGACCCTTAAAAGTTCCCACACTTTACTCACCTCTGGCAGCTTTGTCCCCAGCGATCAAATCCTCTTGGTCACCAGAAAGAGTCCCTCAGAGAAAACGGCAGCAGGACCTGAGCGTTCCCTGCAGGCGAGAGCAAGGAGAGGAGAAAAGGGATTTGGGGAGGTCAAGAGTCCGTATCTTAGTCCCATGCAAAAGCAGACCCTGTCTCCCTGATCCTATAACCGGTCACAAATTCCTCCCTGTTTCCTCCTGCCTTTTATACAAAAGTTCTTAGATTAAATCTGTAGGAATGGGGTGGGAGGATCTCATGGGGATGGGGGAAGGAAACAGACCCTAAGATTGAAATCCCCCTTGTACTGGTGGGTGGAGCTCACAGGACAGTTTTCCACAGGAAGTGTGCAGGATGACCATGGGGAGAAAGGATCCCAGAGATACCACAGTTACAAGTCCTCTGCCCAAGACCAAGCCTCTTCTATCAAACACCAGAAATCAGACCCAACTACTGAGCTGGAATTCCTACCTTCCCTCAGGCAGCGCCTGCAACTTCACCAAGGTCTCTTTCTTGCTTACCATCCCCCAGCAACAGATAGAAAAAACTGATGCCCAGAGATCTGGTTACCATCGTGGGGGGTCACAAAGCATCAAAAGCAAGATTAGAACTCAGGGCTTTCAGGTGCCTGCTGGGAAAATCGCAGCCACAGCTTCCCCGCATTGCCCTAAAGCCCTTCTTGGGTGTTGAGCTGGCGGGGCTGATTAGCTGGTGGGGGTGATCTAGAGCCCTGGTGCCAGTGAGGAAGTTAGGACCAAAAGCCACCTCCGGGCTCGCCCTGCTGGGGCTACAAGCTGGGGTGTGGGGAGGCTCAATGGGCAAGGGCAGGGAGGTGGCAGCTGTGGGTAGGGTAGGGGCAGTTATTTTTAGAGGTGGCTGGAAAGCAGGCACTGTGGCACAGCCCCAGCTGGCGGATCCCTCGCTCCACTTCAGAGAAAGGGGGTGCGCAGCTCGGGGAAAGGAGGGGATTTGTGGGTGGCAGGGCGCAAGGGGGTTGCTATTCCTAATAGTCTGAAAGGAGATTTCGTTTTGCCAGAGTTGAGGACTGAGAGCTACCCGGGCACCATGTTCCCGGGGTAGAGAAAAGGGATTTCACTCGTCTGTTCCAAGGGCTCCCCCCACTGACACTCGCGTGAAGGAGCTCCCTCAAACTCCACACAGCCTCCACCGCACCTGGGACCCTCTCCCTACCTCCCGGAGCCCGGGACTCACGTGGGAAGCGGCGACGGCAGCGGTCTGTCCTGGCTGAGTTTGAAGCGTAAAGGGAGGGGGACTCAGATGAGGTATTTGGACTCAGGATAGAGCAAGAGGTGCTTACGGGAATTGGAGGGGACGCGGTGTCTTATCCACCTCCGGGTTTTAGGGCTCCGGCTCACGAGTCCCTCCAATCCCGAGGGACCGTGGATGATGTGCGCCTGGGCCGTCCCCTCCACCTGCCCCCATCCCCCCGGGCGGCCGCAGCGTCCCCTTTAAATGCCCGGGAGCCGGAGCCCGAGCCGCGGCCGGCTCTGCGGCTGCTGCGGCACCCGGGCGCACCGCAGTCCCCGCACGTCACAAGCAATTGCCCAATCACAGTGACGCCGGCGCACATCAAAGGGGCGGGCCGCCTGGGGCCACGCCTCCCGGCTGTTCGGGAGGCTCCCGGAGCGTGAGCGAAAGTGGGATTGGGCGCCCCGGGCACCGGTCGGAAGGTGGAGATGCCGTACAGCGGGATGGGGGACACCCCATTCGGATAGCAGTGGACATATATAGAAACCCCCTCTCACACAACTAAAAGTGTCAGGGCTGTGGTCCCTGAGAATTGCAGAAATGCATCTTCAACCCCAGCCTCACCTTGTTCTTCGCCTCTAAACTGGCTGGTACGACCCAGCCGTTCCTCTCCCACGTGTGTGTAGCTTGGTGCCCCATGCACGGAGGAGTCATAGCCCCTCGGCCGACCCTCGGAACCCTTTCACCAGGAGAGCCCCCTTTCCCCCAGAAAAGCCCGAATAAAGGCTTTCTCGCTCCCCCATAGCCAAACTCCGAGTTAGAGGACGAAAGACTTTGCGCCTTTGCAGATGGTGCTGTAAGTGAAAACTCCGCTTTCTTCTCTGCTTAAGAGTTCGTTCCTAGACCACCGCCCCTTCTTACCCTCCCAGCCTGTGCGTGGGGGAAAAAGATTTGCTTTAGGGAGGAATGCGGCAAAAATTATATTTATGGGAACACACTATGACTTAGGGGCTGTACTATAGTTGAGCGTTCACAGCACTCCGGAGAAATTATTAGCCCAAATATTCAAACCCAGGCACACTTGATTCCATCTTGTCACAGTATGTGTGGGGAGAAGGTAGGTACTCCAGCCTGGGTCTCCCTTCAGTCCTTCCTAAATCCTGGTCTCCCTCCTCCCAGCAGAGGGCCACCAAGGGCCCTGCGGGAGGATCTGGAAGCTGGCAAGAGGAGTAAGGATGAGGATGCCATTGCAGAGAGGGGACAGGGGCTGGAAGTCAACAAGGAATGGCCTGACCTCTGTGCCAGGGGCTGGGCGTACATTGATAAACATGTGCCACGTTCCCACATCTGCAGAGGGAATAGCTGCTGTTAGTTGCCATGGAGTGTGTGTGTGCAGAAAACTGCTCCAGGGTTTAAGGCTGTGGCCTTTCAGAAGCAGGTCACCAGGCCTGTCTCTGGGTGGGTTCAAACTGTCAGCATTTTGGCTGGTAGTCAAGCTCATAACTGTGCCAACCAGGGGCTTCTCACAAAGGGGAATGGGTACTTAAATACTGTAAACCTGAACATGGTTGCACAACATGAATAAAATTAATGTAACTAAATTGTTAAGGATGTTGAAACGGCACATGTTGTGTGGCATATTTACCATAATTAAGACTCAGCGATCAGTTTGCCCAGAATCACACATTGCAGGAGATACTTGATTCAAATCCTGGTCCTTTGAAGGAGTTAGCAGCAGTTTCCAGATACACTAATGAAGTTGAGGGAGGGATGGGGAGATTCTGCCTCCCACCGGTCAGAATGCCAAGGCTCCCAGGTGCCACAACACTTTTTGTGCAAAAGGTGCAAAAACCCTTTTGTGAAATAAGTATAGAAGTTTGTAGTTCTCCCCATGGTGAAATTTTTGGGACATGATCACTTCTCTCTTTAAACGCTCTTGAAACTTTCCCCTCAAGGTACTGATGAGTAAGCAAGATGTTTGAGCAGCCAAGTGCCCCAGAGGTGTACCACCTGCATAAAGATGGGGACAGAGATGGAATGGGAAACCCACTCTCCCAG